ATGGTGTTCCCTGACACTCTTGTGATGTACAGTGGAACGTCAAGAGTCCGAATGATACCATTATCCCCATTAGGCAGACAGTATTTTATGTGATTAAGAGTTGTGTAGATAAACACACCATTGTCGTCCCAGGCCCCACTCTTCACACGGATGGTTTCATGAAGTGTGCATCGGTGATCAAGCTTCTTGGTGGCTATAATTATGGAGTGTTTGCTCAACAAAGCAACACTTTCCATATCATTGGACCAGACAACGTATCTAACAAAAGAAGTCTGAAGCTCCCCAAGCACTAACCTCTGTTGAGGATCAAACACCAGCACTCTGTCCTCAGCCCTGCAAAGAAGGTTTCCAGTTCCTGCATAAAATATAGCATCAGTCAATGCAGGAAGGGCAACCTTTTTCACAATCTCGTTCTTCAGGTTCTTCACAAGCACTTGGTTGCTGCTCCTCTCCAATACAGCAAATTTGTTCCGAGCAATAAAAATCGCTGAGCAGCCAAGACCCCTCTTTGCCTCTTGTACCAAATCACCCCTACCCCAGCCATCTTTTGGTACTATATAGAGTTCATAAGATCCACCATCTATATCAGAAGAAATCAAAATAGCATTTTCAGTTGGACTGTAAGAAAGCGTTCTTGGGCTTTGGTTAAGTATGCTGGCACCGGGTCGACGTATGGGAATGACTTGACTATCCTTCTGAGTTGAAAACTCAAAAACCCGAAGAAAGCGATCCCTTACATAGTATACGAGATCACCACTAACTGCAAAAGCAGGGCGCTCTCTCTCCAACTTAAAGACAATCATTCCACTGTCATGACCAGCAGCCAGAAGGTTCATCTCAGGATGTGCTGTCAAAATCCAAAAGCGATCATGCTCCCTCCTAAATGTTTGGAGGCCAGTTCTCTTTGTGGCATCCCAGACACGAATACTTTTGTCCTCTGAATTTGAGACAATAATATCCTGTCTAGTGTGAAAGAGAACGCAAGAAACATTATTCATGTGTCCTCTTAAGGTGTCCACCTCCCAAGCTTTGGTATCTGCACATCACACAAGATGCATCCAAATTTGCATAAATATAGATTATAGATAGAACTGATCAGGGAACAGCTTATAATAATACTACAACTATATAAAACTTCTTTTTGATGGGTGGTGAATTGGGTTAATGATTCATGATAAATTCTTCTAGTATGTTCTCCAATGTCATTAAACACAAATATAATAAAAATAAAAATGATAGGTTCCTGGTAATAAAGTAAGGCCAGACCTAGCCATAATACTGTGTTTGGTTATATATAAGTTTTTAATGTGGAGTTGCTGATTAATTTCCAATTCACAGTATTGTTTAGTTAAATAATTTACCACTATCTACACTATAACTTCCAAGTTCAAAGTTGACAATACATTGCGCACTCATAGGCTCATAGCTATGGCTTTCTGAGTTTCTGCTATACAAAATTATCTTCCAAACAAAATTTCCACATAAATCTGCAGCTTTAAAAATATAAACTAAACAAAAGGAATTTAAACCGTTCACATCCATACCATTCATACGCCAGATTTTAACTTGACGATCGTCAGCACCAGACACAATCAAAGGGAGAGATGGATGGAAAGAAGCCCAGTTAACTCCTCGATCATGACCCTCCAAGACGTACTTAACAACAGCATCAACACCGCCAAACAGATCAGAATTCATCTGACTCAAACGCAAGATGTCATCAGAAGGAGAAACACCTTTCTTCCTCAAAGAACCAATATCCCAAACACGAACTGTCTGATCCAAAGAAGCAGAAACTACTAGATCTTCCTTGGGATGAAAGGAGGCACACATAACATAATGATTGTGTCCCGTCAGCACAGAGATACAAGTACGTGATTGCCAATTCCATATCCTTATGGTCTGGTCATCACTAGCACTGACAATCCAAGGAGATTCATGGTGAAACTGGACAGTACGGATGTAGTCAAGGTGTCCTAGAAGAGTAAATAGGCATCGATGCAATTTATAGTTCCATACTTTAATCTTATAGTCATCCCCTGCAAAGCCGTCAAATAAAGTGTATCAAAAGATACATCAATGAGTTGCAGAAAAATAACAAAAGGAAATCCAAAAATGGCAGGGGAAGATGATTTATTTCAGAGGTTACATTGCACAAGAAACTACAAAAACCAACGCAGCCAGTCACGGAACAGAATCCATCATATAAATGCAAATACCCGAACAATAAAGTAAAGACAATGCACTAATTATAGTTCTCAATAACACTAACTATTTAGAACAGGCTAAAACAATGTCTGGTTATTAAATAGTGTAAGTAGTTCCCTACATTCCTACAAAGATCAGGTTGATACCCCAAATGAATGACCATTCAATTGGTAAGGTATGTAAACAGCCCAGCAACCATATCTTCGGATCCGTTAAGATTCATAAACTTCAAGCCAAGTTGAAGCAGTGACATGCCTGATGCCTCAATAGCAGCCATCGTAATTGATCGATGAACAAACTACTGATCCGCAAAAATCCTAACGCAATCGGATTTAAGCACGCAGATCCTCAGTCATACAATGCACATCAGTAATCAGATACGAATACAAAAGCAGTATCCACACCATATATAAACACACCTCATCACTCACACTCATCAATCACACATACGAGCAGCTCGAATCCATATCAAAACTCGTCTACGATCCATCGCGTTAACTCCAACAAATCACACAAATGCAGGTCTATCCAAATAATCAAATCAATAGATCTCTAAAATCCAGAAACAATCACTATACAATACAATCGAATCTAAACTAAAATGAACAAAAATGATCAAATTCATCGAATTAAACAAACCAGTGAATCAAATATGCAAAATCCTCAACTCAATCAACCAATGTACATCAATCTAAACATCAAACAACTCAAATTAAAACTCGCCGACACTCAAAAGATGATAAGATTACCTCCAGAAACAAAAAGAGGCTGAGTTTTATGAAAATCGACGCCTCGAACCGGACCATCGTGTTCGTCGAATCGATCAATGAGAGTACCCATACGATAATCCCACAATTGGATCACACCGCTGTGTAAACTCGCCAAGATCCATGGACGTTTCGGGTGGAAACTCAGTCCCTTCACTCGATTACTCTTCGTTTCGAATTTCGTCAACATTGTTCTTCAATTCAAATTTCCAGAAGAACAGCGATCAATTCATAAATTTGCAGAAGTGATCAATAAAAGGATTGGTGATTTCAGATCGAAATTGAAAGAATTAAGGATCAAATTGAAATTGGAACCCTAGAATTGATTGAGGAAAAAGGAGAATGTGAGATTGAGCTTGAAAACTCAGATCTAATGTAAAAATGGCGAAAAATGGGAGGTGATTTAGGAGGAATTCGACATTCTAGTGAGAGAAAGTGTGAGGAAGAGAGAGAAAGAAGAAGGAGGTTTATAGATCTGGCTTTGGACCTTCTAACAGCCGATCCCAGTTTTGGTTATGAGTCTGGATGCGCGGGGTATGTAATTGTTTGTAATAGGGACGTTTTCGGATTTTTCTATCGAGTGCGCTTTAGAAATGAACTAGATTTAATCTCGTGTAAATGTGTAATGTATGAGTTTTTTCTTGGTAATTTTGAAAATTATTTTTGGCCTCAATGTTAATGTTAAAATGAAGATGGCTAATTGCTATTGGATAGAAAATTGCTATTGGTTATTGTTTTCTGAAAAAGTTAGTGATAATAAAAGGGTAGGAACACGTGACATCATGATATGCAAAGTTCACAATTTGTAAGGTAGATGTGTAAGACATTTGATTGAATGGTTCAATTTTTTGATATTGGCATAAAACTTCATATTATTAATCATTTTTTTTTACGAAATGTCACTCAAAAGATGAATGAAGTTCATACCTCGTGCTAAAATCAATTGAGTTTAGCATTAGTAAGGTATGTTCCTGCTTTCTACGACTCTATGTGATATGTCTTACCATAATTTTCAAATGATTCAAGCATGACTCCAACCCATATAATCATATATCATGTTGTGCTTACGTGATGTCATGATTAGACCAAATTTCATTAATTTTGTCATTTCATACTCGAACATGACCCTACAGCATCGTGTACACAGTATATCGGATTGACCTCATGTTATAATACGTAGTATATTCTTTTGTTTCGATTCCATCCATCTCCTAAAGTATTATTGTCTCCAAAGAATTAGAGAAGTTGTAAAGCTTTAAGGTGTGAGATTCGCTCACAAATAAACATAACAAAATATTCCATGACCCTAATTTATCTTATGTATAATCACCAAAGATGATACGAGTATTTAAAAATAAAACCGTTAAGTTATTGATAGGTAAGAACGATTTTTGAGAACAAAATCAATCTCAAAAGTTGTTCTCACAAAACGAAAAAAAACCTAAATAGTGTCATGGTCCAGACGCAGAAGCCCAAAATTATAATATGGTCCTTACGATAAAGCCCATTGAGCGAGTAATGGCCCATATTGCTTAGTTGGTGGTGAAGTAAGTCCATTTGATAAGGGAGGTAACTTTCTTTATGAATTTAACTATTTAAGCAATTGTTCAACTTGATTATCTTTATATTCAAGTCGTGAATGATTATTGTGGGTTGATTACCATTAATTGCTTTATCATCTTTACACTATGATTTTAATTACTATTAATTGACAATCATTGTTGACATGTTATTACTTGTTGTATGTTAGCAACTAGCAATATAGTTTTGCTAACCCCAAAAAGGGCAAAACCCATAATTTTAAAGTCCTAATACACATTGGACTCCATGCGATAAGTATGTCATTTTCATGTTTGCATTTTTACTTGAACAATGTACATTTTCTCCCTTGTCTAATTTCACTTTCTTTTGGGATGTTTCAATTTAATCGTCTAATATCCTTTCAAAGAAACTTTTATCAATATTTCCATCAAAAATTAAATCTCATATTTATCCACCCGTCTATTTTTCAGCTACATACGACTAAACCTTACGTAAATACATCCAAGACAAAGTAAATCGAGACGGAAGCAACATTTACCCAAGACAATCAAAGACAGTTTTATTATTATTCGCCAATTACTCCATAGTTTGCTTTCACATTCACGCCTTTTTCTTTGAAAACAAAAAAAGAAGTTGCTTTAATCGTCAGCAATAAAATCACCTTAACTGGTTCCCACCTACGATTAGTACCGTACTCCACCAAACTCCTCCCCCATAAATCAATTCAAGTCCACCCCAAATTCCTCCATCCTCTTTATTTTCCAACTTGCATTGCATGCTTCACATCTTCTTCTAGTACCATTTTATTTAATTCCATGCTATACCCTTTCTTTTTATTTTTCTTTGAAATATTAATTTTAATTTGTCTCATTCATATAACTTTTTCTTATAAATACTACTACATACTATTCTTACATTACATTCCATTCTCACCTTCCACACAAAACATACATCCATGGAATTCCACAATAACAACCCCTCTCTCCCTCCACACCCAACCCTAATCGCCATCGGTCCCGGCCCCTCCTCGCCTCCTAACCACGATCATCATCGATGTTTCCCGGTCATGATCCGCTCAATATCATCCATCTTAACTAGGTTTCATGCAGGCTACTTTAGGATAACATTGTCCCTAGGAAGCCAAGCGTTACTATGGAAAAACCTAATTGAACCTACTAGTCATAACACTATTAATCCATTAATACAACATCTTTTTCATAGGTTTCACCCTATTACATTTGTGTCTTTTTGGGCATTTTCTCTTGTTGTTCTTGTTTTTCTCTCTTTGGTTTATCTCTTTCGTTGTATCTTTCACTTTAACATGGTCAAGGCCGAGTTCCTTCACCATGTTGGTGTAAATTACCTCTTTGCCCCTTGGATTTCTTGGCTCTTACTCCTTCAGTGTTCGCCGTGGGTTGATCAAAAGACCGGCGTTTACCTAAGCCTTTGGTGGACTCTTGTTGTTCCGGTGGTTGCTCTTGATCTCAAGATTTATGGCCAATGGTTCACTACCAAAGGAACAAAGTATGACCTACTAACATATACAACAAATTATTAATATTTTTGGAGATGTAGTGTCTCACTTTTGTGTATCAAACTTGTATCATTGTTTCCCACTCATTTTTATTGGTTGGATTTCTGTTTCACTTTTATGTCAATTATTTTAAAACAGAGGAAATATACTCAAATTATTATCTCCTTTTATAAATTTAAACAAAAATAAGTGATATATATTATAACAATACAAAAAGTGAAATTGGCTAAGTATAAGTTCACCTAAAAGTTTTTTCTTTTAATAAAACTACGTTTTAAAAGTTAAATTTATAACTTACTTTCATGTATTAATACAGGTACAATCTTACTGCGGTGGCAAACCCAACGAGTCAAATGAGTGTGATAGGAAACCTAGTGGGGTCGACAGCGGCGGCACGAATGGGGTGGAGTGAGACAGCAATGATACTATTCTCCCTAGGAATGGTACATTACTTAGTGCTCTTTGTGACTCTCTATCAAAGGTTGTCGGGGAGCGATAAGCTCCCGGCAATGCTTAGACCGGTGTTCTTCCTATTCTTCGCGGCGCCGGGGGTGGCAAGCTTGGCGTGGGGGTCTATATCTGGAAAGTTCGATACAACTGCGAAGATGCTATTCTTTCTATCTGTCTTCCTCTTCATGTCTTTGGTAAGAATTTGCGGCCTATTATATTGCTTTCAAAGTACGGGTCAATAAATTGACCATTTTCTTTAACTTTGTTTATTTTTCAAAGAAGAAAAAAAAACACACCCTGGTTTGGCGTTTTTGATTGCGTAGGTTCCTGTCATTTTCTGCATGGTTTAGAATCTCTGGCTAGATTTTTTATTACTATATCCATTTTATATTATTTGCAATAATTAGATATTTTTTCTCTCTAATATATATCAAATCGTTATAAATAATATGAAACGGGAGAGTCCGAACTATTAGGGTGTATTATTATTAATTTTTTTATGGTAATTTTAAAAAAAAAAATTCAATTAGTCCGTATTCTAGCTGTAGCTTATTAGCCATATACTTAGATATTAACAATAAGTAAATAAATAAAAATGGTCCATAGTATTCGTTGCCAAGAATAAAATATACTCCCTCCGTTTTTTTTTATATGCATCACTTGGGAATGCACACAGTTTTAGGAGATAAATATAATATTGTGAGTGGATGAATAAATTATTATAATAAAAGTATGATGGGGACCATGAAAGAGACAAAAGACTTGCGTGGACTTGGTCCACAATAATATTATTGTGGACCCGAGGTTTATAAACACGCAACTAACATTATATTGAACATAGTAACCTTTAATTTTTATATAGTAACCCTATTTTTAACATAATAACCTTTATTAAAACTAATATAACGTTTAATATTATTGTGAACTTAAATTATAACGTTATGACCCTAATTTTAACATATTGATTTTTATTATTCATATTAACCGGTATATAAAATATTTTATTAAAAAAATTAACCTCTTATAGCCTATATATAACCAAAATAACTTTTATTTCAACATAGAGACCTTTTTTCTATTATAGTGACTCTTTTTTTAACTAATAAAACAACCATAGTTTTCCTGATGTTAGTGGTCCACAATGAATTAATGTGAACCAGGTCCATTTAAGAATTTGTATGAAAGAGAAAGTATGTGAGAGAGAATAAATATTTTATTATTTAAGTGGGGACATAGAAGAGAGAGAAATGATAAAATAATTTAAGTGTCCCACGTTGGTTGAAGAAGAGAGAGGTAAACACTTTATAAGGCTAAGGGGCTACTCCTCCTATTGCCATATGGTTTTGGGATGGAACCTCCGTGTACTTGTGAAGTGAACTCTCTCTCTCTTGGTTTGCGGGTGCGGCCCAGACCCGCATTTGACATGGTATCAGAGCCAGACCCACGATATGTAGGTCCGTGTGAGGGGGAGTGAAGAAGCACTCTAGCCCGAAAAATCACATGAGACAAAGTTAAAAGGGACCTTACATGTGAGGGGGAGTGTTGAAGAATAAACCTCTCAAGTGTCACCACATGTAAGTATCCCACATTGGTTGAAGAAGAGAGAGGTAAACACTTTATAAGGCTAATGAGCTACTCCTCCTATTGCCATATGGTTTTGGGATGGAACCTCTTTGGACTTGTGAAGTGAATTATCTCTCTCTTGGTTTGGTTTACGGGTACGGCCCAGACCCGCATTTGACAATCTCCTAAAACTATATGCATTCCTAAGTGATGCATATAAAAAAAAAACGGAGCAAGTATACCAATATCGTGAATTGGCCTAACATAGATTTATCATTTATGTGATCACTGCAGCAAAATTGGGAAGATGGTACGGTCCTACTAAGACTACCTGCCAAGGTTGTCGTTATTCGTTAAGTACAACTGTACTAGTCTTAATTTTTTTTATTCCCTACTGTTAAACTACAAGTATGTTTTTAAAACGTTTGAATTAAGAGTAGAGTATTGATATTTTTTTTTTTTTTTTTTTTTTTTTTTTTTTTTTTTTTTGAGGAAGAGTATTGATTTTATTTACTCCAATATCTTTGCTTTAAAACCATTTTACCTAGCTTTAAATTGATGGAATATATGTCGTATCATCACCAACAACAACTATTTGTAAATTTTTGTTCCGGGTATCAGTAATCTTTATACGAAGTACTACAACTAGTCGTAACTCGCAAGTATAAAATTTTATCTCTTCACAAAAAAAAAAAAAAAAACCGCATATGTTCTCATACAATGATATAAAGCATGTGAATTTGAGACTACAAGGGAGTTATAATATGATGTTACAACTAAGTGAAGGATGAACCTGAAGGATTTGTTTAGGTAAATTTAGCTTTAGAATTTTTTTTTAATTGTGTAGAAGTATTTTCTAGAAGGTTATTACTTCGTATTATGTTTTTTCCGATGGAATATGGGTTTGTCTATAGAATATTTATTCCACAGGGGAGGTAGATGTGTCCTCTAAAAAAAGTTAGGGGAAGATCGAATTAAACCTCACGTATGGAATCAAAACCTTTAATATGTCCCATCTTAGGTAGATTGGTCGAATTCGAGATCAATACAACAAACTCTAAATAAAAGACTTAGATTTACCAATTCAACCCAATAAGTAGACCGAATGTTTGAATAATATCATACATACAACTATACAAGTATATAAATGCATCTTAACATCACATAACATCTCGTGATTTGAATAAGTAGAAATGGTACCTGAAATTGATTTTGGCACACCCTAAATTGATTTAGGCACACCCCTATGTGAGAAGAGCATAGAAAACTGTGATCTCAGATAAGGGTGTGCCAAAATCATTTCCCCTTATAAAGTTATAAGATAGTCCAATTGAGAGTGAAGTCGACTTATCACATTTAAGTACTTATAGATAGTCGTTGAACAGCATGTTTGACGTATACTTGACGGTGGAAATTAATGCAAAATTTTCCACAGTTTTTGCCAAAGTACAAACTGTATTACAGTCCAAATTGTCCAGCTAATTGTGCATGTTTTTTTTTCCAAGCCTCGTATAATTATAAGGTTTTCTTAAATTCAATGTTTATTTAGCTTTAACATAAACTAGTAGCTTGAAAAGATGGAGGGATTTAAAAGGAGCAGTTGTAAATAGTAAAAGGGTTAGGAGTTACCATCCTAAACTCAATTATTAATATCATTTAGGCAAAATATGATACCATTTAAATATCTAATGAATAAAATCCAAAATCCATTTGGATTATCTTCGCTATCAATATGACAAACACAAAATTTGAAATAGGTATGCAGGCCATTACTATTCAAGAAAGCGATGAGGAGGTTCAACGTGACATGGTGGGCATATTCGTTCCCAATCACGGTGTTAGCAATAGCTGCCACAGAATACGCAGAGGAAGTAAAGGGAAAAATAGCAGATGTATTAATGCTGATTCTAGCATCAATGTCAATGTTGGTCACTTTCAGTTTGGTCATACTCACACTATTCAACTCCAAAATGCTTTTGCCTGATAATGATCCTTTTTTTAGTTCTAGTGCTGTCACTCCTGTGCCTCATCATTTACCTACTATAGTTACTCGTACAACTCCTTTGGATATTCGGCGGAATTATTAAAATTGGAAACATTTTTTGGAATTTAATTAAGTTTGGTTTCTTATTAGATGATAAATGATCCGGGTCAAATTAGGATTCTCTTTTTACTCCAATTGCTATTAATTGGTTGTTTTGTTAATTATTTTATTCAGTATATTGTATATTCTTAGTACAGAGTATGATTTTGTTATCAATTAATCTTATCATATGGAAAAGCATTCACTATATGTATATTTCTCCAATTGGTACTACATTTGAAATTATGACAAAATTATAAGTTGTTCAGTGGTATAAAATGTGTATATTGTTTTTTTCTTCCCGTTAATTTAAGCCTTTAAAGACTCATGATATAATATGTCCTCTCATCTAAACAATTATTAAAAAAAGACAAATAATAAAAATTTGTGAAATTATTATTTCCAATCATTATCATCTCGATATAGATCGAACATGCATATCTGTGATCAGATCATACAATGAAATTCTATAAAGCAAAAACATATAACATGCGTGTTTTAAGGCAAGTGATTTATAATACTTCTATGTTTTATTCACTTGATTTTCGATTATCTTATCTAAACTTACTTGAACTTATTTGAACATTATAATTTTTATATATATAAAAAATCTTAATTTACTTGTAATTAAAACTTGATAAAATCTATACCCGGGGGCGTTGGATAAGGTAGCTAAAAGTAGAAAGATTAAATTAAAAAGTAACGTTAATTACACCGATCGATGCGTGATTTTGTCATGCTTTCCCACATTAATACCATTTTAGATAATATTTTAAATGTTTATCCAACGCCATGATGGCTTTTGTTAGCAAGATTCTTAAAACTTAGCTAACCCCCATTAAAACTTATTTATCTAAACTCGAAGAAATCAAGATGAACTGAATAGGCCCTTATTAGTGTAGAAACATTTTTCGATAATTGGCCAAGAACGAGATGAAAAACATCACTAGCGTTTGTAGTCCAACGGTTAGGATAATTGCCTTCCAAGCAATAGACCCGGGTTCGACTCCCGGCAAACGCATTTTTTTTCCTTCAAATTTTAGCTACCAAGAAAAAAGAAGAACGAGATGAGGTTAAGTACTTCGTATTTTTTTTGGGTGCTTTTGTTTTGTATAGCTCAATAGCTGTATTACATGCATCATTCTTTTACCCTTATATTATTATCTTATCTAACTGATCAACTTGTCTAATTTAGTTACCTTTTTACTTATGTTTTAATTACTTTATTTATATTATTGGTTAATGATGATGCATCCTTGAACTACCTATTGCCAGGCCAAGACCTTAACACCTTAATCACTTCTTTGTCTTACAAAAATCAAACATATTACATGCACATGTCGAGTTGTCGACCCAAACAATGGCACTAGTAATGAATTTGTTAACTTCGTATTCAAGATATATTTAATAGACTTTATTTTTCTTATCTGAATTTTTTCAAATCACAAAGTAATTAAATTGAATGAAATTAGTCTATAATTAGCATTATGGAATTGTTCACATTTACTGAATTGAGCTGAACTGAATCGAAAAGAGCTAAAATGAATATTTTATGAGAGAAGAAAATTAGAAATTGAACTGAACTGATTAGAGCTTAATTTAACTGGACTGAAATTAAGCTGAAGTGAACATGCCCTATCTATTCTCTATAGTTTCACTCGAAAATCTAATCAATTCCCATTTTATAGGAAGGCCCGAGAAGAAAACTCACAATCATATGCATAGATTTAATAGAGCATCAAGAACATTACTACCACCACTAAATTTTTTTAGAAAAATTACTCATCTTCAATAGATCGTACGTACAAGGCAGTACAAAGTAAACTCCAAATTTTTTTTCAAAAAAAAAACAAAAGTAAACTCCAAAAATACTAAACTATTTTAACAGAAGACAATCTCAATTAGACTTGTAAATATAGTTAGTTGTATACTATCTTACCAACCTTTTAAGTACATATTATATCATTGATTAATGAGTAATGTACTAATGTTAATTAACAACGGTATTAGAGAATTAAATTATACGTAAAAAATCTAAATTTGTTGGCCTACATTATCAATTGATTTGTGCATAACATGTAACACACAATAACTCACCATTTGGACTAATAAGATTAAAGGGTTTTTAATTAGCTAGGGTATAGCATAAAATTTGTTGAATTTTCGAAGTGGCTTTGTGTCTTAGTTAGGTGCCTCAAATTTTCTTATGTCGGTACGATTCTTGTTGGGACCAAATTTAATTCATTCGTAGGGTTTGTACCACAAGCTACCTATTCTTCAAATGGATGCAATTTGGTTGTTCCTTCGTCATCATCAAATTAATTAATTTTTGTATCCCATGATCCATGAATATGCCTAATCAAGATACTACAAGGAAGTAAATGAAGTGGCGTCCACAAATGATGTTACGTAGGGATGTCAGTGGGGCGGGTCAAGTAGGAGACCCGCCCCATCCCCGCCCCACTAGAGCGGGGATGGGTCTCGATTTGGTGGGTGGTGGGGCGGGGATGGGGATAAAAACCATACCCGCCATGGGTGATGGGGCGGGGGTGAATTTTAACTTGTACCCGCCCCATCCCCTCCTCATACCCACGTCTATATATATTAACAAGCAAAATTATATACTTTATACTATTTTATAAAATAATAATGTGAAATATAATGTTAGTTATAATACTTTGTACTATACTTATATATATATTATAAACAAAAATGTGTGTAATATTTAAAATGTTTTTTTTTTTAATTATAATCCGTATTAATTACGTAGGATTGTGTATTTAAGAGACGGAGATTAGGTGGGTCTTAGGTGGGGGATCAGGCGGGTCTTTGGTGGGGATGAATATCCAAGTGGAGGGTGGGGCGGGGATGGTTTTGGAGTTGTACCCGCCGGGGCGGGGATGGGGATGAACATTGGACCCGCGGCGGGGATGGGGATGGGGATGAAAATTTTAGGTGGGGATGGGGATGGGAAGGCCAACATCCGCCCTGCCCCGCCCCATTGACATTCCTAATGTTACGGATTGTTACTTTTTTTTTTTTTTAATATCATACGTGTTGTGAAATTATGTTGTGAAATTACATTGAGGCTGATTAATAAATGGGATATATATATGCAAAAATGATGAACGACAAATATACAAGGGTAAAGTAACATAAAATAATTGAAACCTAAGTCCCTCGTCTAGGGTTTAGTGAGTCCTTGTCTAAGGATCGTAGTTGAGTATTTCGTAGTGCAATCAATTAAATTCTTGATCCCTTTCCACAATTCTGATTACCCTCATTCTGATTATGGAGTCTAATTTAATCAAAGAATTCAAGAAATTCCAATTGACGGAAGAAGAAGGAGTGATTGTTGGAGCGAACGTGGAGGAGGAAACATAGGCGATTGCAAATAACCAATTGAAATTAACCTTAATTGGGAAACTCTGGACGGTCAAGCCTTTCAACTCTGAAGCTATGAAACGAACCTTGCTGAATGTATGGAAATTGAAGGACGGAGTCGCAATTAGGATGGTCGAACAAAATTTGTTCATGTTCCAATTTTTCTGTATGGACGACAAGGACAAAGTTATCGAAGGTTGTCCTTGGTTCTTTGATGATAAGCTGCTGGCATTGAAGGAATTAAGCGGAGAAGAACAACCCTCAGAAGTGTTTTTCACTCACTGCCCGATGTGGATTCGATTGCGAGACGTACCTTTCAATAGGCGTAATGTTACTGTGATGAAGGACATTGGTGAGATTCTTGGAGGGTTTCTGGAACTTGATGATACTGATCCTTTGGGATGGGGGGGAGTATATGAGAATTAAGGTGAATTTAGACATAAACAAGCCAATGAGAAGAGTAATATTCATTGCTACTGGTGCTTCATCCTCGAAGTGGATTGACTTTCAATGCGAAAGATTGGCTGAATTTTGTTTCTATTGTGGCAAGATAGACCATACAGAACGTGAATGTTTGGCAAAGGAGGACTGTGCAAACTCATCTGATGAGGTGGTTTACCAGTATGGCCCGTGGTTGAAGGCTTCACCCTTAAAAAAAGCAAGAACCTTAGGGATTGACCGCGAGAAAGAGAAGAAGTGGTTGAGCTCTCTGTCTTCGAGGAATTCAAGCCGCAAGATGTGTTACAATGACCCTGACTCGATCAAATTGGGTCCACCTGGGGCTGCTCGCAAGCTGCTCTTTGCTACGCCCTTGAAGGATGCTGATTGCTCGAACATGAAACGCAAGGAAATTACCCTCACAGCTGTGACTGACCCTATCACTTCCAAGGTGGTCCTTCGTCCTAAAATTCTGATTAAGGAAACTGAATCAGAGGAAAATGCTGAGAACTTACAGGGGATTGAACAACTAATTCCCAACTCAAGTGAGGTGCATAATCTGGCTGATGAATCCCCCTTGGTACCACCTGGTTTCGACAAGCAGCAATCCTAGAGCACATTGCAGACCATTGGCAACGTTGACACATCTACCACCAGCTTCCCTTTGACAGAAACCCAAAGCAATCAGGGAGTTAGCCAAGTGCCTGCAGGAACAGCAGAGAAATTGAGTGTTGTTGGCGTCTCAAGGAGAACTTGGAAGCGTATTGACAGAGATTTTGACAGCTCTATGGAGGACCATGACATTCTTGCGGGTAAGAGGAAACTTTCTGACGATCCTGTTAATGTAGACTTAGAGGTGGCATCCTTTGGGAAGCGAAGCAAATCTAGCCCTGGGACGCTCCTTTTTGCTACTAGTCTGGCGGAGGTTGACATGGTTCAACCCTGCCCCTCGCAATGAGTACCTTATGCTGGAACTGCCGGGGGTTAGCTAATTCTCGGGCAGTTAGAGCACTACGAAAATGGTGCAATCCTCTTGTTCCTGATATTTTATTCTTGTCTGAAACTAAAATCAATAAAATTATTGCTGAAAATAAAAAACATCAATTAGGTTTCCAGTATTCTTTTAGTGTTAGTAGTGTTGGACTTTCTGGTGGTCTGTGCATTTACTGGAATGATTCTATTGACTTTTCTCTTGTTTCCTACTCACAAAATCATATATGTGGTGATGTCAAAACTGACAGTGGAACATGTTGGCGTTTTGTGGGTTTGTACGGTTGGCCTGAGACAGGTAATAAATGCAAGACTTGGACTTTGATCAGAACCTTGTGTGATAATTTTGAAGGGCCGATTTTATTTGGGGGGGACTTCAATGAAATTCTGTCTTATGATGAAAAGGAGGGTGGCGAGGACAATGAAAGGAGTGTTATGACTCCTTTTCGTGACACACTGCAAGATTGTGACCTCCGTGACTTGGGATATGAAGGGCAATGGTTTACGTGGGAGAGAGGCTTATCAATGCGTACTCTTGTTAGGGAACGTTTGGACCGTTTTGTAGCTAATACCAAATGGTTTGACTTGGTCACAAGCTCATTGGTGGAGAATCTTATTCGAGAAAAGTCTGACCACTCGCCAATTTTTCTGAAACTAGGAATGCACAGACGCAAGAAAAAGAAGAAAAAGAAAAAAAGGTTTCGTTTCGAAACCTACTGGTTACTTGATAATGAATGTGAGCAGGTTGTTCGGGGAGCGTGGAGTGGCAATGTAGGAAGAGTAGAAGAGCGGGTTCAGGATGTAGCAAGGGACCTTCGAATTTGGAGTTCAGCCAAGTTCAATGATCTTGGGAAACAAATAGATGAGCTTGAAAAAGAGTTGAAAGAAGCAAAAGGTGAACCATTATCTGATGAATCCTTAACCAGGTGTGCTAATGTAGAGAAGCGTCTTGATGAGGCGTTTGATAAACAGGAGGCGTACTGGTATTTGCGATCCAGAGCAGCAGAGATCAAAGATGGGGATCGTAACACCTCTTACTTCCACCACAAGGCTTCACATAGAAAAAACAAAAATGAGATCAAAGGCCTTTATGACACAGATGGAGTCTGGAAGGAGGAGCAGGAGGACATTGAGAGGATCATCCAGAGCTATTACTAAGACTTCTTTTCGGCTGGGACCCAATCGGATGAAGTTTGTGATAGAGTTCTTGAATCGATTGATACACTCATCACTCCGGAGATGAATTCTGAGCTTCTACGACCTTATGTGAAGGAGGAGATTTTTGCCGCGCTGAGTCAGATGCACCCTTGCAAGGCCCCAGGACCGGATGGTATGCATGCTATATTTTTTCAAAAATTTTGGCATATTGTTGGTGACGATGTCTCAAGGCTTGTTAGTAATATCTTACAGGGTAATGAATCTTTTGGCTCTGTTAATAATACTAACATTGTTCTTATTCCGAAAGTTAAATCTCCTACTCAGATGACAGAATTTAGACTTATTGTTCTTTGTAATGTGATATATAAGATTGCCTCTAAGGCAATTGTAATGAGATTGAAATCGATTCTCCCTGGGATTGTGTCGGAAAATCAGAGTGCTTTTGTCCCGGGACGACTTATTACAGACAATGCCCTTGTTGCTCTTGAACTTTTCCATAAGATGAAAACTAGGTGTAAAGGGAGAAAAGGCATGGTTTCGATGAAGCTTGATATGAGCAAAGCTTACGACAGAGTTGAATAGAATTTTCTTGAGAAACTGCTTGTGAAAATGGGTTTTGCCGGTAGGTGGGTGGAGATAATAATGGACTTTGTAACTTCGGTAAAATATTCTTTTATTGTCAATGGGGGCGTTAGTGGTTCGGTTTCTCCTTCTAGAGGGCTCCGACAAGGAGATCCCCTCTCCCCGTATCTTTTTATACTTGTAGCTGATGCTTTCTCTGGTTTATTGCGGAAAGCAGTCTTAGATGGCTCTATTCATGGAGCTAAAGCCAGTCGTAGAGGGCCAGTGATTTCCCACCTTCTTTTTGCAGATGATAGTCTACTCTTCACAAGGGCCACCCGAAGGGAGTGTTCGAAAATTGTTGAAATTCTCAACACATACGAGCAAGCTTCCAGACAGAAAATTAACTATGAAAAATCGGATGTCTCTTTTAGCAAAGGAGTGAATTCAACAAGGCAAGAAGATTTATTGGGAATTTTATCAATGCGACGGGTTGATAAACACGAGAAGTATCTTGGGATTCCAACCATAATTGGCAAGTCTAAGAAGATGGTGTTCTCGGCTCTTAAGGATAGAATTTGGAAGAAACTTACGGGGTGGAAGGAGAAATTATTATCAAGAGTAGGAAAGGAAATTCTCATAAAATCTGTCATCCAGGCCATCCCAACCTACATCATGGGAGTGTATAAAATTCTGGTAGGTATCATCGATGACATACATTCCATGATTGCTCGCTTTTGGTGGGGAGAGGAGAGGAATAAAAAAAGAGTACATTGGAAAAGTTGGAAGGATCTTTGTACTCCGAAATGCCTTGGTGGTATGGGATTTCGTGATTTAAAGGTTTTCAATGATGCGCTTTTAGGCCGGCAAGCTTGGCGTCTCACGAGTAATCCGGATTCCTTTTTTAACAGAGTTTTGTGTGCTAAGTACTATGTGGGGAAGAGCTTTCTTGAGGCTAACTTGGGTATCGGAGGCAGGTTTTCATGGCGGAGTATATGGTCTTCGAAGGCACTTATCAAGGAGGGGCTTCTTTGGAGAATAGGGAATGGATATACGGTTAATATTTGGAATGACCCTTAGGTCGATAATGGAAGTAGTAGGTTCATTACCACTCCCTGCAACGATGAGATCTCCTTAGTGAGCAACTTGATTGATCATGTTTCAAGAGAGTGGGATGTACAACAAATCGAACGCATTTTTAATGAAGATGATGTACGAAGTATCCTCTCTATTCCTCTGAGTACTAATTCTGGCTCTGATTCTGTAATGTCGTTACTCTGTGAAGTCAACATACATGTTAGGGAAATCTTGCAACCTTGACCTTTATCATAAAGCTTGGGTTGATATCTGGACCTTGGAGGTTACACCGAAAGTCAGGCATTTATTGTGGCGCATCTGTTCTGGTACCTTACCTGTACGAGCATATCTCAAATACAGACACATGATTGAGTTTACAGACTGCCCTTGGTGTGTTGGTTGTCCTGAAACGGTGCAACATGCTTTGTTTGATTGCCCATCAGTGCGTGAGCTTTGGGTTGAATGTGATTGTACTGAGATGTCTCTATGGCCTGCTGGAATGTCCTTCCTTGAGCTTATAGATTCCTGGAGCAAGATGGATAAAAAGAAGGTCTGCAGGGGTGAGAATCTGATTTGGAATTTATGGACAAGGAGGAACGACATGGTTTTCAATGGCAAGGATACTTACCATCCCATGATCATTGATCGTGTTTTCCGTCTTGCTGCTGACTGTGATAATTATGCTCATAAAATTTATGGCAGCAGTAAGAAGAAACCCAGCAGCAGCACGAAAGTATGGAAAGCTCCACCTGAAGGACTGATCAAGCTTAATTGCGATGCAGCTCTGCATATTGAAGGGTGGGTAGGTCTTGGCGTCGTGGCTAGGAACTAGAAAGGGGAAGTGTTGTTTTCTGTTGTACGTCGCACAAGAGCTCACTGGGCTCCCATTGTTGCAGAAGGAAAAGCAGTAGCAATGGCCATCAGACTCGCCAAACGCTTTGGTCTAGCTGACATTATAATTGAATCTGACTGCCAGACCCTCATCACCAAGCTTTCGAAGGCGTCAGTCTACTTCACTGATCTGGACGCAATCCTTGATGATATCCTATCTTCTTCTACTAGCTTTAACTCTGTTTTATGGTGCCATGTTAAGCGGGACGGTACTTTAGTTGCTCATAATTTAGCCCGCATTTTGCCTTATGGTTTTGAACAAATTTGGGAGAACCACTGTCCTTGTGAGGTTGCTCTTTATGTATTGACGGATACTCTATTAATATAAGGCACCCTAAAAGGGGTTTCAAAAAAAAAAAAAGGTTAAAGTAACATAAAAGATTTATATATAGAGTAACAAAATGGAATGATATATTAACTCAAAATGTCTCTCAAAATCATCGGAGTCACATTTTATTAGCTTGAATAATTGAGTTTACATGGCAATTTTGCACGACTATTTATGGTTCACTAAATTGTTTCTTTTGTATGTATGTATTATAAGGAAATCCTAATTATATATCCTACAAAGAATAATGTTCGTCATACCCCTCATGATCCAACCGTGACAAATAGGAAATAACATAGGAATGAAAAACATAAATTGAAAACTAGAAACATTAGGCGACTCCCTAAGGTTTGCCGGAAAACAATGAGATAAATTTTCACCTTTAATTTGAATCACATCTTAATCATTTTCAGTAGATCGAGTGATAAATGCATAAGAAGTCACACCCATTCGTCATTCTTCCATGATTTCAAGACAAAATTAATTATATTGTAATATTTGAGTTCTAAAACATCAATCATCATACATGTAAAACAATCAACTGAATTGGATCGACTAGCTATTAGTTTTCATCTTCACGGCTACAATAGATTTATAGACTTCATCATTGAAGAAAGTTATACGTACCGTAAAGCATGTTTATGTGAAAGAGGGTATATATGAAGAGTGTTCGATTAATCAATTTGCACATTGTTGAAAGGGTTATTACTTATTAGTCAATCTTATTATTAAAAAAAAAAAGTCATGAAGTCATATAACCATTTTAATTAGACTTGAGACGTACGTAGTGATCACCATATAATCATTTGAGAAGAAGTCACTCTTCTCCATGTACCTCTAAAGAATGACATAAATATGATCAACCATAGTCCATAACTAATAAGCTGTATGCATGGGCTATAGTTTCGCATAGTAAATAATTTAAAATCCAGTTATGTCAAGGATCGGAAGAACCACCAACTTAAACACTATTGTTGGCTACGGAATATTAATCTAATTTGAGTTGTAGGATTATTCTACATTTGTTTCGAAACTGACCCATTGTCATTCCTAATAATTGTAGTTGTGTCCACATATATATAGAAAAAGTATATGGTTATTTATTTGGGTATAGGCATAAAGACACACAAGGACCACCCTACAAACCAAGACTACAAAGTATTGGATATGCATACTAACTACAGACAACCTACCTATGTCCTCAACACCATACTCCTCTAGGCACTATGATGGACTAATAATATGTACGAGTATTATGTTTCTACGAGTGATTCAAAGATTTAACACTTATGCACTGGCAAATATACATAAACATAATGACTTAGCGATATACGCGCTATTCTCCTTCCCTACCTTTTAAAAAGTAAGATATAACCGGATCTTATGAGTAGTAATATACTGATCGATTGAAGAGTGTTATTTGAGTGCATGCATTATTTTCAAAGGTATTTATCAAAGCATATTATTGTTGAGTACTTTTGTATATCATTTGATGTACTATACAATAATTTACTGTATATTGGGGGTTACTTTTATCAAATTTAGGGTCACTTTTACAATATTTTGGGTAACTTTTATCAATAAAACATAAATACTTCGTAACTTTTATTTATGTCAAGGTAACTTTTATTTATATTAGTGTAATTAGTGCTCATTTTAGGGTAACTTTATTACGGATGTACAATATTTGTTGTACATCCAATTTATAACTTTCAAGGCCAGGTGTTGTGTAACAAGGTAATACGATGCTATTTAGGTTAACAATTTGGTGCAGCAGGGTTACCCGAGTTTTTTTTTATTTTTTTTATTTTTTTTTGTAGAGGTTACCTGAGTTTTTTAGTCATGGGTCACTTGAGTTTTTCAGTCAGGGGTTACTTGATTAGCTTAGGGGTTACTTGAGGAGTTCACTTGGTTAAGGGTTACTCGAGTTTCTCGGTCATACTAGCTGAGAATCTTGAGTAACCCCGGAACTTGAGTAACCCCTAAGCGGGAAACTCAAGTAACCCTAACCGAGAAACTCAATTAACCTCAAAAATTCAAGTAACCCCTGATCGAGAAATTCAAATAACCCTTACCGCACGGTACAACAGACTGCATATAAAAATTTGTGATATTTGAATCTTGAAATTCATAGGTCTCCTAA